ATGCAGAGGTACCCGCCGGCACGCCGGGTCAAAAGTGTTGCCACCGCCGGACGGAGAAAATGGGCGCCATTTTGAGATGGGCCAAGCGGCGCGCGTTTAAATGGGAGCCCAAAATACGGACTTTTGGACTCGTATTTCGTGGGTTAATATTGCTCAAAAAAATCGGGGAAAATTCCTGTGAACTCTGTGCACTCTCTAGTTTCCAAAAATGCAAGAATTACGAATTGCTGAACAAGCTCATTTGAGAGCTCGCACATGCAATTTTTCACTGAAACTACAAATTTTCAGGTTTATTTCGCCACTCTAACGGGTGGTTCTTGAAGAAAATTTCACGGGGAAACCAATGGAACCACTTTTAGAACTACAAAGTTCTGTATAAACCGAGTTATAAGCGTTCAAAGTTTCCGAATTTTGTTCGACCTCTCCTATCGACTCGATCCACCGTGCGGCGTGCCGTTCGTCGTGGCTCTGCGGCTGCGTCGCGGAGCTTCCGTTCTGAAGGTGAATCTATAGCGGGAGGAAGCCTACATCAATGTATCGAACGAATTTCGCTTGGCTGCTCGTCGAGTCTTCGTCGTTTCCGTAAGACGTAAAAGACGTAACTCCACTCCAATGTTGCCGAATTTCCCCTCATAAATTGCATGTTAACCAGGATAATCTTGGGCGTTTCTAACATGAAATTTCACTGTTCTGTCCTCTGATTTCCTGGAAAAATCAAACAATTTTGGATGAGAATCAGCGGATTGATTATTGAAATTGATAGACAAAGAAGACAAAAAAGATATGGAGGGATCCTATTGGTGGAAGCGGGTGGTTGCGATGGACAAAGGACGTAGGGAATAGACTAACTAACGGCAACCCAGGAGAGACCCGATAGTTGGTCCATCATTTACCCCCTTAGTCTATGAGAACCACCCATTTTAACCAATAGGATCGCTCTATAGGTCCTATGTCTTCTTTGTCTATCGCTCTGTCTATGAATTTCTATAATCGGCTCGTACATTTTCGTGAAATGAATCAATTATTTGAGTATATTTTGCAACCTCCGAGTGAAGTTACGTTACTTCGTCCGGGAGACAACTTATTGAATGGGTCAGTTGCGCTGGTTACAGAATCGTGTTCTGATGCTTGATTTTTTAAGATAAGCTAAAAATAATAAGATCTGTCCAGGCAGCAATTTTCCACGTTTTATATCAATCGTGATACCGCGCCTCGACAAATTCGATTTATGACGTCATCCACCGCGATAGTTTGCTCACGTCTAAGTTTCCCGTTGAGTTGCGTTAGAGATGAGTGCTTTTGTGTGTAGATATTTCAGGTCTCATTCGGAAATAGACACGATCCTTTTGAACAAACAAGGGCGCAACTGGCTATTTTTTTTAATTTTTGATGTCAATCATAATAATGAATATGTCCGAATAACTGCCTTCAATATTTTGTCTAACTTTATACACAGTTCTTACTTTGCCCTTTGTTTTTTGTTGCAGCGCCTCTCTTTCCCGTCTATTTCTCAGCCGGCTCAGCGTGGAGGGCGAGTTGGCTTTAATTTTAGTCTTTCTAACAATGCTGACATTGAAGGACCTCAGGGTAGTTTTGAATGTATCAAACAAAATGGGCCAAAGTAAGTAACCGTATTTTTTCAAGTAATTTTGTTGTACTGTGTCTCATATCGGAGAGAACCTGGCTTTTGACAATTTCTGCTCTCGGTTGTAACAGCGCATACACCTGTGGTTGTTGGCCGTGGAACCAAGAATGTCATGGTTGTTTTCAGGTTGATCAGTATAAAGTTTTTCTTCACATACCTTCTTCCCTTCAAGTAATGCTATCAAACTCTTTAAGTAATAATAGTATTGCTGCCTTTACCACAGAATGAGTTTCAGAATGAAATTCGAAAGAAGGTTGTCCTTAAAAACAAAAATAACTCAAATTAAAGCATTTTCACGAAGTTTGACTGTCAAACTACATAATTCTGAAAGCTCCTGGCAGAGTTTTTTGCTTAATTAGAGGACAGTGGTATTTCGGGTTCATATAGCAGTGTCCAAAACTCACTGGCGCCTAAGAAATCTGTCATGGCACCTAAAAAATGAATGCTCTGCGCCAACGTGGCCCTTAAAAATCCCCCCCCTCCCCCAGAAAAAAATCCTAATTTTTCTGTTTGGTGATTTTTCGAAATTTTTCCCAAGTTACAGCTACTTGCTCTGTAACTAAAACATCTTGCGTCTAACTTTTCACTAAATGCGCAGTGATATATAGGCAAAAAGTCAATTTGGCCCCTAAAACATTTTCAATGGCCCCTAAAAATCGAGCGTGATGAGCCACATGGCTTCTCTCAAAGGTGAGTTTCGAACACTGATCTAGCATCAGGGAGCGTCATGCAGTGACGAACACTGTTATCAGCCATAAGCCTCCTGCCTATGTAAAAAAAAAAAAAAGAAAAGTTGCTGACATTTAAGTTTCAGCAAGCTATCCAGGAAATTATTTTCTTCTTTCTGCCAAGTGTTAAGCTCAGCTTCCATTTTACAACAAGTATGTGACCACCATAGCAATATTATCAACTGTTTTCCTACTCTTTCTGAGTATTTTGTTCATCCATTGTTCTTGCAATTGTACCATTAATTTTGTTCTGTGATCAGGTGCTTGGAAACTGTCGGCTCCCTCCAATGTAAAATGCGTATCCATGCCAACGAAGACATCTATGAAGCTACCAGGAGTAGAATGGCAGCTGTTGAACAGCAGCAAAAGAAAAATTGGTATGCTTTCTCTTTTTTACTTTTTTTTTTTTTTATCATAGTAAGAATGAAGTATTGCTGTAGGTCGCAACAAAAAGTATAAACCCTCCTTGACTGGAGAGAAATTGGATCTATTTAATTGTTGGCTAGATTGATTACAATGTTACAAAAAGAAAAAGCCGAAATTTGACAGAGATATATTTTTATCTAGGATAAAATCCAGGGAAGTAAACGCACATTTGTCTACACCAAAGTGTGCATATTATTAAGGAAAGGATAACTTGCCGAGAAAGCAGCATGAATTTCTGTCATTTTAAAATTTTACTCTCGACCATCAGTTTGGGAATATTTTGTTCAAAATATTCTTAAAACTTCAAAAAGCCATTAAAATTATTTTTATTTGCATAAGTATTCAGGGCAGAAGTTATGGAAGTTAAAACAGGAAATATCTTTTTCGCATCCAAATCTCAAATGTGAGCTGCAAGTTGAGCTAATTTTCTTTCAGTGTAATTTTCAATACCGAAATAATCCATAAATGTGTCCACTCTAAACCGAGTGTAACAGGAAGGAAACAAAAATTCTCATAGGCATCAATATGGAGCTCATACTAGGCAGAAATTTAGTCTCAGGATTGAGTTTTGCCATCTAATTTCAGTCTGAAACTTTGATTCAGTCCCTTTAATCATATCATGTTTACCTGTGAAGTCCCGGCAAAAGAACCAAACTTCTTCTTCTATGACAAAGTTTTCTTTGATGAAAAGGAAAGATGGTTCTATTTCCGAAACTCAGTTGTGATCGAATCTGTAGAAAAGAACCTTATCCTCCAAAAATTCTAACCTCCTTAACTTTTTGCAAATGTGTGAAGGGAGAAAATCTGGGGATTTTGGTGCAAGTTTAGCTCTAAAAGCACAAAAATTGAAGGCAATGTGATGAGCCCTGCAGTTCCAAGACCAAAATTTTTAGATCGTAGACAAACAAGGGTTTAAGTTTTTCCCAAAAGTTCCATAAAATTTTCATCTGGTCACCGTTATCTCCTCTGATTTCAAGGGAGTAACAAATATTTCGTGTGGGGATGTTTCTGGAAATAAGGATTTGATTTGAGTGGTGCAACTTTGAAAAGCATTTCTGGAAAATTTCCTCAGCCAATTTCTCAATTGTGCTCTACTCATTCTTATTCTTAATTTTATACCCAAGAAACTGTGCCTTGTTCAAAATAGTCACTCTTATCAATGGAATGTTAATTTATTTTTCTGTTTCAGCACTAGGGAAATAGAGCTAAATAAAACTGGTATTGGAAGGAAAGCTAAAATATGCCGGAATAGTGCTCCAAAAATAGATCCTATTCCTCCCTCATCGTATGGTTACCCATCTATCAAGTACCAAACTAGTAGTAGTAATAAGTCAAGTTGTTCGCCCGCGTTAAAACATGGAAACCCAGATATTGTGAGACAACCCCTAAGGTGAGTCATAAATCATTTAATCAAACAACAACCCTGTGATTGTGTGTTTATAGACAGGTGACAATATCTGATTCCCTGCTTGGTAACTACATATCTCATTTATTTATGATATTTTGTGGTGGAGACTCTTTTCTAGCCAAGTTTCAAATCCAGCAGAGTCGTCATTCTAATTGTTTTCTTACAACCATTGGTGTTCTGCATAAAACTGGGAAAACCAATCAGAGAGATGCAAAGATTTTTGGGAAATAGGATACAGATGGCTGTGCAGGTCTGTTTAGCGACCAGTAAAACCAGGAATGGGATAGGACCAGAAAACACTCAATAGAGAGGGTTGCTAACCCTCGCACTTTATTTCGATTCTTTTCAAAAATTCACAGTACCTCTATAATTAGCCCTGCAGCGCTGTCTCCTGGCCTTGAGTGAATTTTTCCCTTTAAAATTTAAGCTCCCATTGATCCATGCCGATACTCAGCATGGAGTTTTGTTCATTTTTGGTTTCTTTTGCTTTGGAAAAAAAATAGGGGAAAGTCAGAGAGACAGAAAAACTAATGGTCAAGAAAAATCTGGATTGTCAGAGAAAGGAAAGAAAATGTTGCCAGACACCCTACCATTCTCTTAATGGAAGGTATTTTAAATGTGTGTTTTTAGAATGAGCCCTGAATTCGAAGAAATAACATTCAATTGCTTACCATTTTTCCGGGAGAATTTCTCATTCTGATATGAAAATGACATTCTGGCTCCTTAGGATTTGAAAATGAGTTAGTGGTTGTGTATCAGGTTATTTATTGTATGACCAACATTGATTGATAATTCAAAAATATAGTAATATAAGTGTATTCAACTGGTCAATCATTCATTGAGCATTTCCTTGCTTAAGTGAATTGTCTAACTATCAACATTATGTAATCCTACTTTACTATTTATTTGTTCACAGAACTAGATTAATTCATCTATTAGCTGTGAGAAATTATAAAAAGCCTGAAATTTACGCTGCAATTTCTCGAGGTAAGTACAATATTTGTGATCTTCTTATGATTTCTCCATTTTCTACCCGTTGGATAGTTCAGAGCACCCGGTTCAGACCCTCCTGTACAAACAGCAATTTTGTGGCTCATATTTAGACAGGAGACTATGCGAATGGCTCCAAAGAATCCAGATTTAATTTCCCCCAAGCCATCTAGGAAGGAAATCACGGCTCTGGTGGTTAAAACTTCATTTTAAACTGTATTGAAACCAATAGAACCTGAAAGCCATGTTAAGTTTTCCTATTATCCATATATTTCTTTTTCCGCCTTTTTCTTAGAATCTAAAGAAAAATTGGTTGAAAAGATCTAATCACACTGAGGATGTGATTTCTCTCTTTCAACAGAGCAATTTTAAGAGGAAAATTCTACAGCACAACGGGAAGTCTGCACTGTATGCAACCTAGTTTCTGAGTTTAGCCAACAGTATGATCTTTTTTCACCATATGGTGATTTGAAATATTACATCCCCCCAATTATTTAATTCTAATTGTCATGAAATTAAAATTTTCGTGCAAAGAGCATTTCCATGCTGCCAAACCTTAAAAAGTAACAAAGTTAAACCCCTGTTCAGTGTCAATCAGGGTGTCTACAAGTCCGGAATTTCCGGAAAGTCCAGAAATAGTACTGATCTTTCAAGGGCGGTCCGGAAGTACTGATAAAGTGCAGAAATTTGGCAAAGGTCCGGAATTTTTTTCATTTTGTTGTCATTTTTGTCGAAATTTGAGCGAGAATTCAAATTTTTGAAATGTTTCTAATTTCGTCGATTAGAGGTACTGAAAAAAGACTAAATTTTTCTGTTGAGGAGGCTTTGAATTTCTTGGGAATGTAGTGAAGAAGCGCTGTAAAAGTACTGATTTTTGGCCAGTCTGTTCTAGTAGAAATCCTGGTCAATGTATCGTTAAATCTTAGGAAAAAATTACGAAGATTTTTTTTACCATCAAGCAAACCCCAGTTTGTGGTATTTGAACTCCCAAAAAGACCTCACTCTCCACACAAGGGGCTGAGTTTTGAGAGTTTACGAATTTCCGACTATAGTTTGTCAATTGATTTTAGCTGGTGGTACATATACTCAGTGCTTTTGACTTTAAACTCAGCAAATAGAATATCTGCAAATTTTAAACTTCAGAAATGTAAAATTTGCTATTATCCTTTTAAACTGAAAAACTTATTTTTCTGATTGCTTCATGAATACACTGGAATGCTGACTCGGTGTGGAAAGTGATTTCTTCAAATTTTCTGTGCACCTCTTAATTTTCCGATGTTATATTTCAATGCTTCTCCCTGTCACTATTGCCAATCTCCCAGCCATCAGGCTTAAATCCTACATTTCTTCAATTTGAAAGTTGTAGTTTTCAACAAATTTCCAATCAGTGCGTTGAAAATTTTCCCTGTAGCAAGTTTTCGCAATTATATCTGTAAATATGTTTCTGTGCTTATGCTAAAATGGATTTTTGTGATCTGTAACGAAATTAAAGTGTTTAAAAGTTAACCATAGAAAACACTCACGACAGTTTGAGATCCTCTTTATTTTATTCCATTTTTTCTTTTGTTTCGAACATGAGTTAAATCAAATCCTACGACAAATTACAAGATGTAAATAAAGGCAAATGCGGCAGTCAAAGTAAACAGAAATTGGTACCTTTGGCCCATTTTGTTATAACAAGTAACTAGATAACCATGATAGGTATTTCTAACTTCTAATATTCTCACATTAACACTAATATATTCCCTTTAATTTTTTTCAGATGGAATGAAAGAACGTGATAAAAATCAATTAATGCCAACTCTTTTAAGTATAGCTTCTGTTCGTGACAATACTTACCGGTTATTTAGACATATTTGGAATGAAGTTAGAGAAGACTGGCCTTTTTATACGGAACAAGAAAGGCAAATGTTAAAAAGGTATTAGCTTCAATGTCCATTTATAATAATGAACCAAACGTAATATTCCAAAAGCCTAAGCATTTTTAATAGCAGCACTTAGGTTTCAATTCGTTTTTACTTTAACGCTCTCCGAACCAATCCTGTTCTCTTTTTCTTTAGTAAATTCATCGCTCACACCAAAGAGCGGCCTCAGGTCACCAATCTGAGAGGTACAGAAAAGATCTTTCGCTCTTACCTCAATTTATGAATGCTTCTTTAGATTTTTTTTTTTTTTTTTATCTAATTATCCTGTTCTTAGTTTAACTTCACTTTTAGCAGGTGGAATTTTGCCCATTGAATTTGGTTTTCCTTTCATTTTTTTGGCAAAAAAAGTTTTCTCTGAACATCATTGCCTATGCATCATTAATGAAATGGGTTATTCATTTTTTCCAGGAACAAACCCCAAAACTTAACTCCTCCAGGTAATAGTGATGGTGGAAGTTCTGCAAGTAGTGGTCAATCGCCTGGAAGTAATCATCCCGGAAGTCCTCCCTCAGCGATAGAGGGGCCTTCCTCGCTCAAACGTCCCGGCTATTTCAATGGAGTTGATGGGATTCAAACGAAACGTCACAGGGTATCACATTACCGAAAACCAGCGGGGAACGGGACAAGCATCTCTTCTATTCCTAGCCAAAACGATGAATCAAGGTTTAGCGCCAAGTCAAAAATGGATAGTTTAGCTAATGATAATGGATTCAGCAGTAAAAGGACGCGCATGGATAATATGGACCTATTCAACAACATGAATGATCGAAGCCCACTATCGTTAAATACCATGACATCTTACAAAGCCGAAACTGATTCTGATAATGATGACTTTTTCTGCCCTAAATCATTGAATAGGAGCTCGTCTCCTCAACTTAGCCCTGTAGTTAATAAGAATTATTCTCCTTCTACCGCTCACAATGCTCACATTAGTTCAACACCTTCGGATGCCAGACTTTCTAGCACGGACGTGACGCAAAGAAAATCTAGTAAATTACCGAAATTGTGTCTAGATAATGAAGAAGTTCGTGCCGATGTTAGTTCATGGTTAAATAATAGCTCTGATGATGTTGACATGGCATTGCCCGAACAGCAGTACACTACGTCGTCAACAAAACCCTACGATGTCACGTCTTCCACTGATATTATGTCCAAATCTGATAGTCAGTTCCCGTCTTTGTCTGAATCTGTGCCAGTTGATACGAGTCATGTAAAAAAGGAGAATCTAGACAAGAGTCATATGAAAAAACAAACTCCCGACACAAGGCAAATCAAGAAGGAAAACATAGACACAAGGCATGTGAAGAAAGAAAATGTGAGTGCAAGTCATTTAAAGAAGGAGAATTTGGACATGAATACTTGTAATCAAAATAGTTCGGCTTTAGTCCAGGACTCTTTTCAACCCTTAGAATGTACAGTGCAACAAGCTCAACCGCTACCTAGATATATGAAGTAAGTCCTCCTCTCATAAGCCTTCTCTTCATATTTCTTTTTCAATTACCTGTTCAATATCGTCACTTCTTTTTTATTTTTGACACTTTACCAAGAAATGCTTTTCAGGCATTTCTTGGTATTGTGTGAGTAGTCCTTTTGTCATTAATTCTGGAAAGTCTTTGAGAAAATTTTAAATATTCTATGAAAAATCTTTGAAAGTCTTTGATTTCATCATGTAATACAAACTTTTCTTTAAAAAAATGGTTTTCTTAATCTGTCATCGTATGTAGAAATTAGAGGATACTAGTTATAACAATATAAAGGTGATGGAAAAACCTAAAACAACATCTGTATTGGCTCAACCATCTGACGGAACATTGCAAAGAATATATTTTATTACATACTTTTCTCATTATAATTGAGTTCTCAAGTGTTTTGTTTTCATTTTGCAGGGACTATACTACTATAAAGACTTTAGAGCAGCGTAGAAAATATAAAGACGATTTTAATGCGAATTATACAGAGTATAAAAGTCTGCATAAAATTGTAGAGCACACTACTGCGAAATTCTCGTATCTGGAAGAGGAACTGAAAAAGCACCCCAAAAATTCAGCAGAATATGAGGTCAGTATTTATTGTTTGTCTTATTTGTTGCCATTCTATTCTGTAGAAGAAACAACTTGATCCGCCCTAATAATGTCCTTCTTTCTAATTTTCTTTGTTTTTGCTGGTTGAAAATGCGGGTGTGATCCCTGCGAAACGTCCCTGGCTTTTTATTTCATTTTATGTGTTCTTTTTATTATTTGCGGCCTTAGTCCTGATTTAAGTTGTTTCTTTGTTCTACTCTATATTCAGCAAATGCTTAGTCTAAGTTTTTTCACTCATTCAATCCAGTGCAGATTTTATCGCACTCCAAGAAGGTATAATTTTTTTATCTTATGGTTGAATAAATGTCAGGGAGAAGCTGCATTATGGTCGGGTGAAGACAGGACAGTAAATTGATCGCGAAAGGATCTGCTACTTATTTCTCTTAATTTGCAAGGTTTCTGGCCGTCTAAAAAACCTGGAAAGTTTTTAAGAGTCATAAGTTTCCGAAATTTTCCATGGTAACTTTTCCTCTCAATTGCAAGCTGTCCTATCCTCCTCATTGATCAGTTTTGTGGAAAATTAATCACCCAAAGTAACATGGGTGAAATTTTCAAGGGCATTAACCCATTGACTTATGATTTAATTTGACGAAAATCAGTAACTTTGAACACTTCAAAATAATCCAGAAATGCCTTCTTCAAGGGTGAAAATTGACACAAGAAGCATTCACAATACAACGTTTGAGAAAAATGGTGAAAACTTTGAACAAAATGATTTTTTTATTGTGGTTTATAGCTATCAAAGTCGCAAAAATCGCAAAATCAGCGAAAATCAGAAAATTTTGAGGTTATTTCATGTTCAAACGCACAGTAATATGAAAATACCGTAACGAAACAGGAAATTACCGTACACATTAAGTCATAGAGTAGCCACACTACTCTTATAAAAATTGATGAGAACGCAATCTACCGGAGAATCGCCGAAATAACGCAAACAATCAGTGGACGGCTGGGAGCCGTCATTTTAAGTCAATGGTTTAAAAGAATTTTCCATGGAATTAAGTGAAACGTAACATGTTTAATGTTCATTCTCTTCACACACAGAAATGTTGCCTTTTTTTCTATCGTGGTTGATTTATTGTTGCAGAAAATCAAGAAAGAAATTGTGATGAGGTATAAAGCAGTCAAGAATAACAAGAATTATCAAGCAACTAAGCAAAAGTTTCAGTACCTTCATGACAAACTATCACACATTAAGAAATTAGTCTCTGATTTTGACAACCTTCACTTGAAAAATAGCAATGCTTGTAAAATGGAGCCTGTAAGTTGAAAAATGGAGATTTTATAGCTGTTTTTACTGTTAAAATTACATTGAAGATAAACTGCGTCCAAATATTGAAAAAAGAAATTAGGAACATCCAGTGGCTAACTAATCCCTTTTTTTCCTGCCTGTTGCCACTCAGTGATTTTTTCCTCTCGTTTGACAGAGGTCAAATGGAACTATCATTTCTCTTTAGAAAGCTACCATTCCTTCCTCGCTGTTTTCTCCATAATTTTAATGTAATATTTTTACCCAGTCAAACAAAAATTACAATCTCTTAGTTTTTAAATATCACTTTTAATTATTGTGATGACTTAGTATGACTTAGTATCATTTGCGACTTTATTTTACAATTTTTTTTACAAATTTACCAGGTCACATTCTTTGACCTGGGTATTTTGGCAATTTGGCATCATAAAACTGTGTATTTATTTTGTTCACAAAATTTTCCTTGTCCGTCAGGCCATAAATTTCTAATTGCAGCCAATACCTCCTCAAACGTGTAAAAAATTCCAGAGAAAGCTATTTTCTTTATCTTGCTCTCATTGCAAGATATCTTCGCTGCGGAATTTCAATGTTGGTGTTAATTTTTTTTTTTTTTTGCCTCAGTGTATGTTAATTACTGGGTATGAATGAATCATTGCGCTTGTACGGAATTTGTTATTTTGATGTCAGACTCATGTTGGATGAAATTGTTCCTTTTAAATTGTATTATAGCCAATATCTTAAGAGATTACGATGAAATTCTTGAATGATTCAAGCAGCCATTAAAATTAGTGGAAAATTTATTGTTAGAGAAATTAATTTTTGAGATGACAATGACTGGGAAAATAGTTGCACAAGTCAGTTTGATTTTCCTTTTGTTTTTAATGGATTTTGATTCCATCTGTAATTGTTACAATCATCCTCTGTTTTATCGTTTTGTTACCTACCTTTTTTATTTATTTATTTATTTTTTTTTAAATTTTGTTTACTTGTCATTTAATGTTAATGAGCAATCAAGTAGAATGAAGAATTGTTGATGGCAGTTTTGCATTAAGAAATGCAATCAACTGTGCAAAATCTTTACTTTTTCAATCAGAACTGTTTGTATGATGAAAATAATCCTCTCAGGGAAAATTTTCTTCAAACAATTTTGTCCTTTTCAAATGTTTCATCAGTTTGTTTCATTTTTGGGGGTTTTAATATTTTTTGCAGTTCCCAACATTTTAAATTTCAATTAGATTTCGTAAATCATTACGACCAATTTACCAAAAAGTGGTGCCTTACACAGGAATCATCGACTTGTCTCCTAGCAGTGTCTTTTTCGCAACCTCCATCGAGTAAAATACAGTGTATTAACTGCAGTTTTCTGGTCAAGGCATTTTTACCTAGTGCTGCAAAAGTACCAGGAAACAATATTTTTTTTTTTTTAATCCTTTTAACCGTTTCAAATCATCAACAAACAAATAAAAAAAATTATTATAAATCATCATATGTAGAAAAGGATTCTTCATTTTGCCGATGTCAGTTTTTTCATTCAATCTGAAATTGAAATAACGTCTTTAAGTGTCATTTCTCAAGAGAGGTGAACAACTTCTTTTGTTTTTTATCCCTCTATTAAACCGTGTAGTTTTAGCGTGTCTTCTCATGATAACAGGAGGCATTCGAATGCGTGCAAATACAATAAATTTTTCTGTATCTGTAATGTCTCTAAAGATTCAGTCGGACGTTGCCGTCAAATTGATTGAATTGAACTTCCTGAAATAATCAGTACCAAAGTGTAACGTTCTGCAAATGTGACCGTTGTATTTTTTTTTTTTTAATTCTAACATGAATCAGACAGAAAAAGTTATTTTATCTGAGCAATATACAATGACATTTTTAAAATTTAGGATGTCCCATTCTCAGTCGTTCTGTTGAAGGTTAAAAGAATGCTCATTACCAGGTTAAGTCATACTGGCAACTTCCTAGCTCATATTGCAACTTTTGAAAAGCTCATGTTGGCAACTCTCAGTTTCAAAGTGAAGAGTCTAATTGGACTGCTGACTTATTGGAAAGAAGCTCAAGGTTATTTTTGGCTGTAAAGTTTTGGTCACGATCTCTTGTTGCTTAGATCCTGGTGTCGTGAACTTTTTGAAAATTTTTGTTAAAGTGAATTTCGTTCAGTCAAAAAATAGTATTTTTCCGATTCACAGTCTCCTTGACTATCTGAATGCCCTCATGTCCTTCCAGTATTTTTCCATCAAACATCAAAAAATCGGAATACCTGTTGGTATGTTTTCATCTCGTAGATTTTCTCTTAATTTGGACGCAGTTGTTTTGATGGTGACTGAATTTCATTCTAATATTTCTTAGGCGCTATAGCAGTTAATGATTAGCCCTTTTCAATGATATATAATCATATATATTTTTATTTATTTTTAATTACTTTAAAACAAAAATTTTATTTTTTAGTTACTTTTTCTTTACGCACCCTTTTCCCTACCCCCTCCCTTTCCATCATCCATTGTGTTTTCCTCTGCCTCATTGTTGGTCCAAAAAAAAATTCAAAGGAACCATGTATTTGAAAGAAATTTCTAAATAAATATAAATAATCTTAAATCAAATTTTAAAGAAAACCGAAGCTTAGTTTTAAAAAAAATGTAAAATAGGTTTAAAAAGGAAAAAAAAGTTGGATAATGTTTAAAAAATGAAAATGAAAAAAAAAAGAAGAAAAAAAAAGAAAAAAATTAAATAAAATAATGAAATGAAAAAACCCAAAAATTTAAATTGAGGAAGAAACGCTGTATAAAGAAAGGATGTATTCATTTAAAAAGTAAGTAACCTAAGTACCCATAGTGTGAGTGTTCATTTAATATTAAAGTTTTCTACCTTCAAATGACTTTTTACCCAATAACATATATTTTTGTCAAATTTTACAAATTTTGTACTGAAATCAAAGATCGAATTTTCTATTTTTTAGATAGTATTTTGAAACCATATCAAAATATTAGAAGCAGAATGTCTTTAATTCTGTACTGAAAGTTTGCTATATGTGCATAAAATATCCTTATGGTACCCTTTCAGCATGCTTTTAAGGATTCTTTCCTTTTTAAAATGATTTATTTTTGTACCTAATTGTACATTTTCAAGAGAAATTCATCCAAAATTCTTATAATACTTTAGAAAATTGATAAATAAGAAGCAATTTTGTTAGTTCTAGCTGCAAATTTTTCCTCTCAGTTTGGTCAGACGTTGTAGAATTTTTTTTTGTATTCTATACTCGAGGTTTTTCGTCAGCAGCTCTGTTGTGCACAATTGGTATATATTTGTCAACTAGTGATATCGTTCTCAAGAGTCAGTCAGGATTGATGCGCTGCATATTTCTGAATGGTTTATTGGAAGGAGTGTGCCGTATTTTTGAAGTTAATCATTCTTTAATTCATTCAGCTTTATCAAAAATAGGGGAAATTGTGGATTTTTTGGAGATAAACTACTTTTAGTCAGTCGTGAAGAAATGTAATTTGCCTCATTTTTGTGTGTTTTTTACATTGCAAAATGAATCCATCTATCTGGCTTTTGAGTTATATCAACTGCATATGTTTCTCCCGGAGTCCTAGTGAATACCTTGCACTATCAAATATTTTTCTCTCGATCAAAAGAGATGAGAGCTGATTCGGTCAAATCAGTTTAAATAAATTCTTTGTTTCCTTGCTATTGTTGATTGTTTCCTTTGTTCAGTGATTCTATCGACTGTATCACAGACTTGTGCATACTTAGTTGTTTTTTTCCATTCTCTTGTTGTGTACTTAATTAAATTCGAAGATGACCAGAGACTAACAGGAACTTTGATTCATCCATAAGTAAAAAGTAACGAGTTAAGCTTTAAGTAATCCTCTGTTTGCAGCTACAGGTTTCAGCTTTAACCATATTTGCTCTCGTTGAGAAATTTTTAATGCCAAAGGATTATAACTTGATGAGAGCCGATCATAATTTGACTCACTTAATGAAATTCGACTTATATCACCATGCCCATCACTCTAAGGTGAGAGGAGGAAGCTCACATAGGTTTTTCTCTCATTTTTACGAAAGAAATGTTCGTCCTTTGAAGAGAATATACCATCTTAATATCTAATGCTGCCCTTGATTTAAATATCCAAAGCAAAATTAGTCAGAGTGAAGGAATCATGCAAAATGATTTTACTCAATTCCAAACTGTCTGGTGTGTCAGTTGCATTTAATCATACCAAAAAACTGCTCATATTTGTCCTTTTAGTTTTTGAAAAATTGAGTTTAGCTCCATTTCAAAATTTTGTTGAATGTTTGATGTGGTTACAATCTTTGAACTTATTTAATACATTCCTGACTCGTAGTTGAACATCGAGATGGATGAACATTTTATTTTATGTTATTTTAACTCCAAAATTTAAGTTTTTTTCTGGTAGTTTTTGTGAAATTTTAGTCTTTGGTCATCTTCATGATTTTATAGAATTGATTTGTTAATATGTTTTGCTGACGAATCTAATTCACAGGAAATATAATCGTGCAAATTGAATCTCTGACTCTTTTTTTTTTTCATTTTTCTCTGTGGGATGTTGCTCTTAATTTTTAGAACAGTGGTTCAATATTGATCTGCCACACATCATTTCACTGAAGTATATGCAAATGCGAACAATCCAATTTTTTATTCCTTCTGAAGCAATAAGAACTTTTTAATCATGCTGTATATTGGGAGAACTCTATACTCACTCGTATCAGCATTTTTATCCCTCTATCAGACTTCTTTAGACAGAGCGTAGGCTAAAAAGCCTGGATTTATTTTCTGTTCATCGCTGACTTTGAATTCTAGGTTATTTATCTGACTTACAACACCATTATGATGCTAAAATTTTTTGCTGCTGTTTTTGGCAGCTTTTAAAATGAAAGGCCTAACTTCCTGTCAATCAGTAATATTTAAACTTCACATATTCAAGTTGTAACACCACCATAATGCTGAGATCTGTCTTCAGATGAACTGGTCAGGTTTATTTCTTTCTTTTGGAAGAAAGTAGGTTCAGTACTAGGATCTAGGGACTTGGTTCCCTCAAGAAGGGAAATTTTATTAAAAGAATTGCAGTAAGTACAATTACAATTACTTTGGATCACAAGGTTTTTCTATATGTACATGAAATATTTTACTTATTGCCTGTTCTACCAAGTAGTCGACCTCTCGGCCGTAAAACACTTGCTCCCTTGTCAAAAATTGATGAATCCTCTTTTGGGGACAGTGTGACTGTAAATTAATGAGATTAGTGGAAGTTTTCGCACAATTTTTAAAACTTTTCAATGGGACAATTTCACAACTAACCATGGAATAAAATGCTTTCAGCGTTACCCATAGTTAATTAAAGAGAAGGTATGCAAAGATAGGATGAATAAAGATTTAGATTTATGTTCAAGAGAAGACTATTCTATAAGTTTTTGAAATTAGAATCCTGGACCTATGAAGCGCTTACTAAGCCACATTTTTAAGATGTTTTGAAAAATGGACCAACCAGACTGAGAATGGACGATTATAATTTCAAGCTTTGACTGATGAAAATAAGTGTTTAAGTTTTTGAAGTCTAAAATAAATTTTGCAGCTCTTTGTCAAAATATTAATTGAAATTTTCTGTAATAAGGAAAAACAAACAACTGTCAACAAACAACCGTTAAATATGCAGCTGAAGAGAATCTCAATAATGTTTAAAAACCCCTGTTTCATTCTTAAATTAAATTGACTCAAGGGACATTTTGGAATTTCAACTGCTCCCATCTTTAAATAATACGGATTCATTTTACATGGGCTGTCATTTAACTGAGGCCAGCTGCAGCTGTTGAATTCCTAAAGTGTGCCTGAGCATTAAAGTTGTGAACTAAAGTTTTAAAACTGGTTTTTTAAGCCTTGCAATAATAAATGGTTGAATGTTAATGCTTTAAAAGTAATTCAAAATGTGTGCTGTAAGTTGCCATACTGCCGTGCTAAAGAAAAACGCTGTATGAACTATCAAACGTTGCCATGTTTCCTCTAATACTAAACAGTTATAGTAATAAAATCGTGGATATTTTGCTTCCAATTTTCTAAACCATTTTGTTCACAATTCAATCTAAAATGTCGGAAAATTTCATGTAAAAATATGCAGAACTTTCCTGAAGTATGAATGTTTTATCGAGGTATATGTGGCAATGTCTGAAGGTTCCTATGGAATTTTTCCTTCGCATGGCAGCTGAGGCAAACATATATGAATCAGATGCATAGCTGTTTTTCAACGCACCATTTTATTCTCAAATGCTGTGAGCCCAAAAGAAAATTTCTCTTTATCAACAATTTTTTAAGAATTTAATAGAAGAAAAGTAGCAATTATCAATTTTTTGTAGTGAGAGAGCATAATGATGGTGAGACTGCAGAAATGCAGTTCTTGGTTTGCGGCACTGCAGACTTCCTGCTGTAGTTTATTTTCTACATGGAAAACTACTAAACATCACTCTTTTAAAACTTACGCAATTTTTCTTTTGTATGTAAAGAATATTTTGTGAAAATTATAGGGCATGATGTTTATTCGATTCCTTTTCAAAAAACAGAATGAGAGGAGAGATTTTAAAACATTGCATCGGGGTTACGTATTTTTGCAGTTTCACCGTCGATAAGTCACCAGAGTGAGGAATTTTAATTCTTTTGAACTGCTTTTCTTCGGAAGCCTGTTTTCATTTATTGATAGTTGTTGCATCTAATGAAGCAGCATCTAAAACCAGGGATATTGTCACGCACCAATATATCACCAATGAATGATGTAGTATTTTTATCAGTCAAATTACAAGAGCGAAGGATCAACATTAATATCTCAATGAAGTAAAAAAGTGTACTTACTTACATTTAGGATGGCAAAAACAAGTGATAAGGATAGGAGTAGTTACTTTTAAGTTTTTGATGCCAAATGGTTTGAAATTTATTAGAATAGATGCAAAGTGTCAATTGATGCCTTTGATAAGAGGAGGAGGTAAGTGACTTTTTTGACAAGGTGTTATGGACCTTACATTTTTTGGAAGTGAACCTTGCAAATAGATTGACCTCAATGGTGCGATTTTTGGTCTGTATTTTATACTAGCAGAAGTGCAGCCTTTTAACTTGGAGCTTTTCTCCTCAGGAAGCGAAAAAAAAAAAGTCTCTTATCTCCTCCACCCACAAATAGCTTAAATTCTGCCATTAACAGTTTATTTTTTCAACGACCAACCAGCATTTATAGATTAACATTGCATAATTCAAAGAATCGCTCTAGAAAATAGTTGTTCCTTTCAACTTTAAATATTTTTGGTACAGTAAAATCTGTAGTGTCTGGGCACATATTTTTTGCTGTGAAGCAGTTCTTAGAATTTGTTCGAGGGTAGTCACCAGCCATTTAACTCCAATGCATCATTTTTGCCAAGCTAATTAGCAAAAGATAATGTGAAAGGTGTCAGTTAAAGCCTTATTTAACGAATTGATGACATAAAAAACTCTGCTTAATCCAATGTGGTATCGCAAAATTCACTGTGCATCTGTAGGTGGAATCATATTAAATGTATTGATCCCTTAGTCTGAAAAACCGGTTCTTCACTATGATGTCAGTCTGAAATTTCCCCTGCAATAGGTGAAATCTCAAACTAAGATATAAATTAGCTCTCATGTTATTGAATTCCCTGTGGGGGTGAGACCTGCAGTAAAAACACTAACCGTTTTATTTTCTTTGGCTACTGTAGGTTCATTTTTCGTAACTCCTTGTGTTTTCATTGCTTACTTTTTTGCAATAAAAGAGCGAAGTCAAAGTCTCTGCAAAAGTTCAGGTTTGAAGTTCAGTTTAAATTTTCTACTGTTCCCAAAATTTCTAACATGGTGCCCAGTAGAATGTATAATTCACGAATGAAAAAGTTGATTTTATTCTAAATGTTTCATTGTGGCTAAATCAAGACTCTGCTAAAACTCATATCTGTCGCAGGATAGTAATGTTACATCAAGGCGTAGGTACTTCAAAAACTGTTCTTTTCATTAACAGTTTCTTTCAATGAATAAAATGATTTGCTTCTTAGTATAATCACCCTCTTGAAGTTTTCTTTGAGCCTGTAAAAATTAACAGAGAATGAAACATGTGTAAATATATTTCTCAGTTGCCCTAATTGCTCTATTCATATCCCTTGAATCATTGTCATCTCAAAAAGTTTGAACGAATGTTTAGTCACTAAATGAAGATCGATAGTATTGGAATAAGAGTGTGTGACACAGCACATTCCTGTTGAACCACTAATGATTCTTCGAGATTTCTCATACTAGTTTCTCACTTTTTATATATTTAAAGCTCTTTTCACACTTTTTTGTGTATTAGCTGCAATCAATTCTTAAGTTTCTCGTAATCACCTAAGTATTTGACCGTATGTTTGATGGATCCCACATTAGTTCGTCCGATTATCTAGTTAGGTAGTGCATGAAAATGTCACGCTATCAATTGAATGAACAATTGAAGCAATGCTGTCCACTTTAAGATTCTTTAACCAGTCTCTTTTTTGTCATACATTGCGACAAAATCGCAAGCAAATCATTGAAATTATGTTTCGCTGATGGGGGACAAAGAGACTAAGTTGAAACAGATTTATGTAATAGGTTGTTTGTATTATTTGGCCTTCATTTTATCTTTATCGAATTGGATGATTCAACAGCTTTTGTCATCAGAAGATGTGTTAGTAGCACGTTGACTGTCAGACATAACTGTAGTAGAATAAAGGTATTATGGGACATGATTGACCAATCCTGTAATTGTATTTCAACTCAAGCGTATCCTGTCCTACTGGCAAAGACAAAATTATGTTAATTCGTCCAAAATTTTTTTTCTCTTGTGGAAGAGTGTTTTAACTGTGAAATTTCTTTATTCCAAGAACATAGACCATTTTTTTTTTTTTTTTCCACTTCTGATGTTGCTGTAATAAAATAAGTATCTCTAATTTGTTAGACTGTTCAAATCATCAAAGTAATATCCCACATTTTATTTCATCAAGTAATCTGAAACAAAATGAAATTAAATGGCATGAAGAAGGCTTCATTATAACAATTGTCCAAACTGTAATTCAGCCAACAGGTTGGAAGGAATGAGCGGCATTCATTATATACGAACTCTCGTTTTGCAAGAACACATATTCATCCTTGACTTGAATTTTTGAGGAGGTATTGTGCTTTCAAAATGGACTGACTGTCACCCAAAGTGTATTAATGAACAGGAAGAGGACAGAGGAAAATTTTAATGTTTATTTTTCCCTATCTGTTTTTTTAAATAACTTGCCTGCCAATACGTAGAATGGAGCTTCCAAACGTTAGCAGTTGTTTGTCTCCTTTCTGTTTTGCATTTTCACTCTTTAGTTTATAATGCATTGCTCCTAAACGTCTTTTTTTTTTTATTTCTCGTTTTTTTATTGATGTCGTTTCAGAATTGTTTGTTTAAATTATACCACAGTACAGGTTTTGAAGTCAAGGACTATCAAAGTTGTTCTACTTGAAGTTAGCCTCTTGAATATGCTTTAAAGAGTATCGCCGGTGAAGCTGCAAAAATGCTTATCTCGGTTGCGGTGTTTCAAAATCTTTGCTTCTCTTTTATTTTTTAAAGGGAGATCAGATCAAACTCATTGCTTGAAATTTTTATAGAATAATCTTCACATATAGAATAAAAACTATCAAAGTTTTCGAAAAATGACGTTGAGAAGTTTTCTACGTAGAAAATTAAGCATGACAGGAAGTCTGCAACGTCGCAAATCGAGCAACGCATTTCTGCAGTTTCGCCATTGTTATATTCAATTAAAAAGCTCTGCTTTGATTAGACCTACATTCTAAAAAGATTTCTCATTTCAAGCAAAGGAAATCAGAATTATTAAATCGGTATCGCAATACCTAATACGCAGCTATCACACATACAGTCTGACTGTACAATCAATTACATTCGCGGGCTAAATTTGTCGGCGACAGCTGACTGTACATTCTCTCTACGCACACTGTCAACTGTACATTCAGGGACTGTATGTGTGATGGTTGCTATATACTATAACAGACAGTCTAAATTATTGAAAATTCTTAGGTAGCTTTTGTCTTAAAGATTTCGACAAATTTTTGTTTGAAGACAACCTCTAAGACATCGAAGACCAATTTTTTCATCAAGTGGAATGATAGTTTCCAGTTTTAGCCCCTGAAATTCTAACAGAATTTCCGTATCTGTGATTTGTAGATAGCCCAATTTATTTTGTTAAGTTTTTCTCCCTTTTTCTTGTCAACGACTGGTTAGTGAAAGCAAATCATTTTTATGAAATTAAATTAGTTAGATTCATTCTAATTCCTTCGGATTTACAATGCTTTTTTGTTGAATTTTTCCTCTGCTTCTGTTATCGAATAAAGGTCTCTTTGTGCAGAGACCTAATAATTTTTAATGAGGAAAAAATATTATGATTTCTCTTCACAAGTAATTAAATGAAGAGAATTTTCAAAAACCATCATCTTTTCAATTTTATGTGTCCAAATATTTTAGTCAATTTCGGTGGCATGAAACAAAATCTGTCTTCGCCTTTTTTGTAGTGCACAGAGACTTCATTTTCTCCAAACTGGAGCCCGATTGTTGAAATGTATGTCGGCACGACAAGAATCGAAAATAGATATATTACACGGCGTAGATAGGGCTATGTCTTGTCTTATCGCGCCGACATAGCCAGTTAAAGTTTCAACAATCCGGCTGCTGGAGCAGTGATAAAACTACTCCTTAAAATGTAAATGCTCAGTACTTAAGCTCAGGCAGTGTCCAATATATCAAAACTAGCTATTTTTCTTGTTATTTAAACACTAGATCCTGAAATTTATCAATTTATTTCTCAACTCATTGTAAGGCACATACTATACAGGATACCGAATGACCTTTATATGCTTCACCACCTCATTCTCGGGTAACTGATCCCATCCATCCAAGCCGTCTTTTGTGTCCTAAATTCTGATAATAGAAATAGATATCACATTCTTTTAAAGCATCAATGCTACCATAGCAAAAATACTTCCACCCATTTTTGTCGTAAAATGTTTTCAATACATGCTCATGCCATGTAATGCCTTCAAGTTGGCAATGTCCCTTCGGACCCAAATGATTCTATGTGTGTGCGTTAGTTCCCATCTATAAAGCAGGCTCAATACATGTTAGATTGAGGTCTGAACCTTTGGTGGATGTATCTGAGTGCAGTATCAAGTTAGCAACGTGAATTCTTAATGCCAACGTGACGTCGGATCATTTTCGTACTAACAATTAGATGAGCAATGTCAATAGTGCAGTTAGCGCTATGAACTTACTCTTAGATTCTCCCTCTTTGTAAGGTGGTCAGAATAGTGCCTGCCAACTATGTTCTTCTCGAGTTTCTTTCTTTATGATAGTTCTATTTCAACAAGTGAGTACTTGGTGAACTTGAAGATGAATTCTCTGCTTTTATTTTAAAACTCTATTTATTTCTGTCATCCAGTTGCCTCACGTGAAAAATTTTTTGGAAAATTTTGCCAATGGACAGTTGGTGCAAGTATACCAGCCTTTAGTTCGAAGTGACTAGTTTGTAACAATTATTTTTTGTCAGTTTAGTTTTTTTTATTATCAATCAAAAAATGAAGTAATAACTCCTCATATTTTCTCAAAACTTGCAGCCAAAAATGGAAATTTTGTTAGATTTTTTCTCAACTTTTTTTTGTTTTGATGTATTTATCACCTTTTATGTATAATTTCCTGACAGTATGTATTGATGGATTTGAATTTTAATCCCTATTTTCTTAAAAACACTCAGCCTATCATTTTTAAGTACGGAATTAATGTATTCAAATCTTTACAATGGCGTAAAATGCCATGAGCTTAGAGAGCATTGTTAGCACTGATGCTCACTTCGTTTTGTCTAACGGAGTGCAATAGAAAAACTTTGATCATTATTTTCTCATTGAAAGAAGTTGGAAAAATCTAGATAATAGATCTACTGTTTCACTCCTAAAGTTACTGAACGAAAGTCTTGCCATATTTCCATTACATGTGCTCTTGAATATACCTGTTCACTGTCTTCGAAAAATCAGATAATACCTGGAGGAAAAATTCTTAAAAAATCTCAGAAAATGTTGATACTAGTCGGTTGATACTACTACAAGGTTAGAAGTTCTGACGCTGTGAATGTGCTTTCATTCAATTTCGGAAATGGAGGGCATAGACCAGGAGCAAACTGGCCAAGGGAGCTAGGGCCCATTTTGCCAGATTTAGAGGCCCTATATGATGCCTTTCATGAAATCTTGCAGGGCCTCCTTGAACCTTCCCTTCACCTTTTATCAGGAGAGGCCCCCAATCCTCTTTTCTATTCGAACTCTTGGAGCCAGTCGGCCCCGGACTCCGACCAAAGTTTATAGCGCACAAAATTGGACCCTCTAATTGACTTTATCAAGAATATTTCTGGAGAAAAATTGGAGATGTACTTACTTTGGGATTTGCTTATGGACACAATCTAGACTCATCTAAAAAATCTATTTTCAGAATTGACTCCCTATTTCCATTGCATAACACAATTCAACACAGCTTGTAAATGATAGGGGTTATCATCTTCCCAAAGACAGCTAACATCAAACGCTTTTACTCATGTGTTTTAATGAAACTGTTTTGAAAAACTTTGATGATTATGAGTGAAAGTATTTTTTAGTCTTTTAGCAGCCTAGGTATTTGTATTGAAAAAATCGCATTTCTGACGCAGCAATGTTGCTAGAATTTATCGTGTATCCATAATGTTTGAAATAGAAATCAGGTGAACAGAAAATATTGCTTATCAACATTTGAGGTACTTTTCATGCACCTGTTTTATATTTTCAACATTAAGAGAGCATGTTAGATGTGTTGCAACGCCGTAAGATCAAAAATGTATAATTTAATGAGTAAATTTTAGGAAGTCAATTGCACTGTGTTTCCAAGTCTCTTGAGCTCTTGAACATATTTTGAATGTTCTCAAAACACAAGCTCAGAGGCTTTCTGTACCATGGCCTCTTTTATTATTAGTTTTTCTAATGTTCCCTCATTTTTAATGATTCAACTTGACTTGACTGAAACGGGCGGTGGAATGTGTAAGTTTGTTATCATCCGCCTAGCCTTCAAGCTTGTGATTTTTGGACGTAACTGCGCCAAAGAAGCTTATCTACTTTGGATTTCTTTCATAAGTTAGTTTCTTTTGCGTAAGTGCGTTCATTTGATGACTCAACTCCCGAGTTTTTTTTATTCCTATTTGATAAATGATGCTGCTCACTCTAAAAGCACAGCTTTAAACCAACGTGTACAGCGATTATTTTTTTAGCCAATGCGAGGAGTACATTGTTACAGCCTTCACGTGGAAGCATTTGCCTTAGATAATAAATGTATGATCTTACATGTGAATGTCTTCCTATTCGCAGAATATCTTCGACTTTGTTATTTTTTTCCTTCTTCCTCTGAAATGTGAATAGCAGAAAATGACTAAATGAACTCATTGATTCCATTCAGTATACCAATATGAAACGGAAGATGAATATGAGCAAGTTGCACTCTACATTGTTTTAATTTTGTTATGTTTTCAGTTGATTACTTCAGCTTTGTATCATTTTCGTGTATAAATACAATTGTATACATTACTAATATCAATTTCATTGTATAATATCTCAAAGTACCATATATTACATATTATATCATGCTTGCAGCAATTCAACTCCTGCATTTTTTATTTCTTCTTTTTTTTTCTCTCTCCCTCTTTCTCCGTCTCTCTTTATCTCTCCCCTCCATCCTTTTCCACTTCTTTTTTAGAAGTATAATATTAAAATGTAGAAAAAGAGACAGCAATTATGGGCATTGATAACTGTCCTTAAGTTTGACTATACTTCATTCATTTGAACAGCAAATATACCTTATTATGTGGTAACAGTAAAAGAGACAGCCATGAGAAAAATTGAAAGATGAAGCAAAATTATTTACAGGATA